TGGTGTGGGGTATGTATGACCACATCCGACGGGATGTTGGGGTATGTATGACTACATCCGACGGGATATGGGGTATGTTTCCCGGGAGCGTTATTAGCATGGGAGTAGCCAGGCGCCTAAGTAAAACATGATAAGATGCATATGAATAAGTCAAGGTGGTTGAGTCTTTTGCCTATTGGGATGTCGGATGCCTGAGGTCTGATCCTAGTGCTTTGGCTTGTTTGCTAGATGTATGGTAGGGGTATGCTCTGTTATGAACTCACGATGCTATGATTATCTCACTCAGCTATGAGCTGACCCTCTTTTATTCTTCTTCTCTGCTTATGCTATGTGTAAGCAGATCATCAGCAGCAGCAGTAGATAAGTGTTAGGTGGGAGAGGAGCTAGAGTTGAAGCCAAGATGAGGTATGGTCTTCAACTATTCTGTGCTTGGACTACTACTCGGGATTTTGGCCAGTGATCCACACCTTTTTGTAAAAAAAAATTCAGAACATTTTTCATGTGCATACTAGCTTCTGATGTAGTGTGAGATATCCACAGGTGTGGAAAGTTGATGATATGTGTATATTTATGTGGTTGTGTAGGTTATGACGACTATGGTATGTATTAGTAAGGTATGCAGTTGTGGAGTATGAAACTGTGCCTATGGCTATGAAAACCAATGTATATGGTTGTGACTATATATGTTTGTTTATGGATGCAGAGATTTAGATAAATTATTTTGCATGTTTTAGTTACAAGAACTGTTAGCCCATTATGCGAGTAATTCATGTCGAAATTTTATTTTGATAAATTTTGATCATTAATGTAACACCCGAGATTATTTTCGCTGCAATTGTGTGAACAATATGATTAGGTAATACGTATAGGGTAGGGTGTTACACACCTCCCCAGAGTGCGGTTGATTAGGCTGTTGCGCGGTCTTACCGCGGTGCTCCCCGCCTTGGCAAGAGACGCTCTTGCCTTAACACGCTTGGCGGTCGTGAGGGGAACGCTTGCCTCCAGAGGCCTTTTCCCCACACCCCGCGTCAAAGGGACGGAGGCAACGGTCACCGTGGCAGGAGATCGACGGCCAATGACGAAGCAACCACGGGAACAACTTTCCCCACAACCGCCGCCGAAGAAGACCCAATCCCAGTCTTCACAATCTTCACCACCCTCTTCTTCGCCTTTGTCCTGTTAGCATCGGCCAACTCCCTCAAACCTGGAAAAAAGATGCATAAGTAAAACAACATGAGAAGGAGGAAAACATAAACACTTAGACAAATCTTTACTGACCATAAAAACCACGAACATGCTGGTATGCACTCTTAGGACCGCTATGTCGCACACGCAGTTGAAACCTCTCTACAATGCGGGTCACATGGTCTTTCACAGACTGAGGTAACTAACTGGAGGCGCACCAAGTATCCTTAGAGCCAACCGCATACCCCGTGAGCGGCTCCGAGTCTCCGGCATACCACTTACACGATGGACGCGTGAAGAAGTATTCCTTATACCATGGTGAATCCAAGTTGGGCGCCTCAGTAACAAAACCCACAGAGTTCTCCCGCCTCCCGATTGACCAAAAGTTAGTCGAATCCCAAATATTGTAGATCAAGAGAAAGGCGTCAAAGGAAGCATCTTCGTTGAGGCAGTCACACGCCAGCCGATACATCACTGAATGAAAGATGATGGTAGGTGACAAGCGCCCCAAGGTGCAACCGAGCCAGTGCAGAACCCTGGTCAAAATAGGGTCAAGAGGGAAACGCAATCCCAACTTCACCTGTTCAACATGAATAGGAATCCAACCGACCGGGCACGACTCGGAACGACTCACCTCCGAAGGGGTCGCATAATGCCAATCAGGAGGAATGTTAAGCGACTTCAAGCGGTAAAGTACCTGCTCGGGCTTAAAGACCGCTTCATGGTCTGGCCCCAATCCAAACACGTCTGGAAGAACTGGCTGACCTCCCCACATTCCCTCGTGGTGAAGAACCGTATAAACAGAGTCCTCAATTGCAAGCGGAAGCGGTTCCACACCCTCTGGCTCCACTATTTCTAAAGAAGAAGAGGTACTTAGAAGCGCCTTCGAGCGCACACCCTCACTGTCAACTGCCTCGTCTTCTTCCAATGAAATACCCTCTAAATCTACCCGCTCAAAATCACCCATGTTATCCCCAACTGCAGATGAAGTAGCCATAACCCCAGCTGGTACAGGGCGGATGTTAGCAAAAGAGTTATTTAAGTCTAAAGTGATTCCGACAAGACAGTCGTGCAATTCTGAACCACTCCCAATGTACAATTCTAGCTCGGATAAATCCCACACGCACTCAGAGGCGGTTCGAGTGGGAGAAGACCGGGTCATACCTTGTGAAACAAGAGGGTCCCTCCAGAGGGCCCCACAATCTTCTTCGCGGGGGCAGGCGGCGACGGTGGCACCATCGAGGTTGTCGGATTCTTCTCTAGAACCGCTTCCGAAGCAAGGTTGACGATGGATGCCTCGGCCGTGATGGCGGCAACATCGCTCCCTGCGGCGACAGATGACGTTTGGTCTTCGCTCGATATTTGCCAATGATCACAGGGTCGGCGAGCGCCGGTTTCGCCACAAGGATCCCAATAAACCACCAAAGCGCTGCGCGGTGGAATCGATCGCACGGGATACAAAACAATACAACGGGCAATGTAGTCAAAATCGCGCTTTAAAATTTAAAAACTTACGATTTTACATTTCTAGGTCACTAATACGCTTCTACACAAAAACTTAGTTTTTACAACTTACGTAGTTAAAAACTCCACTTTAAAACTTAAAAACTTAAGATTTTACGCTTCTAGATCATCAAAACGTTTCTACGTAGAAACTCGCTTTTGACTACATTGACAACGGGTAAGAAGAAGCATGAATGCAACACGAGCAAAGCTAAAAGCTTACCTTGAATCACACTTATAGAGCTCGACGACGGAAGAGGCTCGAAGTCCGTCGCAGAGAAAAGAGGAAGAAGACTAGCTATTTTCCCAAAGAAGAAGCGAAAATGGCGGAAAAGTCCCCCCCCCCCAAACCTACTTAAAGCAAAATTCGGGTTTCAAACCCACAGGGATAACGTTTCGCCTGACCATGTCAAAGCACCGCAATCGATGCACGCCACTTGGCATCCGCAAAAACGAGGGAATGGACGCGTGCGTCCTAGACCGCCCCTCTGGCGTTCCCGCTTCATGCCCTCACGACCAGGGGAAGGCGGGTAATCATGGGTAAGGCAACCCCTAACCGCTTAATGATAATAAGACAATCGTTAGCCGCGAGAACCTAAAGCCTCTCCCGCCTAAGGGGCAAATGTTGGGCTAACCATGAAGACATATGGGCCCCCAAGCCCATGATCACTAAAATCCCATAAAGCAAATAAACCTGGCCCAGATAGCTCGGAGGCGGTCTTCGTAAGCGTGATGGAAGACCGCCTGACACGTTCTCAACAGAATCTCGACGGGGCGCCCAACAGTAAATCCGTACGGCGCCCTGTCAAACCCAGTACGGAGATTGACAAAGGTACAATCCTGACTACACATTTAATAAAGCCCGGAGGCGTCTCTAGGGCGCCCGAAAGAGCATTAAATGCCCTCACTCCAGCCCTCACTAGTATAAATACCCATCAATGGATCACATTTATGGTAACTTCTACCTACTCCACTCTCTCTCTTATTTACAATTCACTCACTTCTCTCTCTAACTTTAGCATCAGAGGAGGTCCCAGGATCCCCCTGCAGACCTTTTCTTGTAGGGTTTCAGAGATCGCCCTCTACCGTCAAGGCCGCACAAGGCCCGTGAAGTCTCACAACCTGTCTGGTACAATCAGACACAAATAGCAAGGGACGGCGGTGGAAGCTCTAGCTGCATGCGATAGAACGACGAAGAATGGGGAACATAGGGAGCTCGCTGGTGTTGAGGCGGCAATGCCAGATTCAGGTTAGGCGGCTCTAAGGATCGGGAGGGAAGTTGAAGGGGTTATAGCTTGGCTGTTGTGGTCGTGTGGAGACGGCTTTGCTTCAAGTTTCATTAGGTGGCTCGGACGATCCGTGATGCTAGTCCAATATTGGCCGACCCCTGATCAAGCGTCCAAGTAGGGATGGGCACGTGGGTAGATAATCCGCGGTTTAACATTGACCTACCCGCAAATAATCCGAATCGCAGTGAATGAGTGATTGATGCGGGTGGATTTTTGATCAATAAATCTCCCATCCGCTTTTATCGGGTAAGTGATGGGTGGATTGCGGGTCACCTGAATGACATGCACCCAATTTTTACATGGAAAATAGTTGCTTGTGTATATTACATAATAGTTATCGTATTTCTTAAATGCCACTACACACTAACCATCAACTTCTAAATATGAAAATATAGAATATTTTGGGCTACTACTATTGCTCATATATGTCCATTAGATTTTGAGATTCAAATTATAATTATTAATCGTACCTAGGTCACATGAACTTTCTCTGCACAATTGGTTGATGATGTATGAAAGATTTTATACAAGTACCATACTCTCCATATGAGACAAATTGGAAGGTATCTGAATTGATGAAGTCGTACTAATTTGTGAGGAATTTATTATAAATGTTTGTCAACTTGCCTCATTACTAGTTAGAGAATTGCATTAATGAGTTAATTCACAACCCGATCTCATCTATTCGCTACCCTCCTAACCCAACCCGAAAAAGTGTGTGGGTGGACTGTGGATCACAATTGTACCAATCCGTTAGTAAACGATTGGATCAATTTAATCCCAAAATCCACCCAACCCACCCACTGTCCACCACTACACCTAAGTGAGAGGAGTCCGGGCAGTATTGACCGGTAACAGGATCGGTCAACCTGAATTCAAGAAGGAACTAATTGTTGCGGATCCTCCTCGGACCGTCAGAATGGAACCGCTTCGGTCAGACCGGTTAGGGGGAGCTGACTGTTAAAATCGGGCATAAGACGCCAATTAAATCCCCGCCCTTCCTTCCTTATCACACCCTCCACACTCTATCTCTCGCATTTTCTCTTCCCCCAATCCCCAATTTGGCAATTTCCCTCCCTCCCTCTGCCTATTACTACAAATACTAGTACCGCTATGCTCAACTCTTCTCTTCCTTCGCCTCCATTACCTTATCTCTAACGCTCTCCTGCTCCTTTCTTTCTCCCAATCTTCAGCCAGCTCTCTTCTCCTCTTGCCTTCGCCTCCATTACCTTATCTCCTTGCTTTCTCCCACGCGAATTCCTCGCAAGCTTCCTTTCTCCCGGCACCGCAGGAACTCATTCCCCTGGGCGTCCATTCTCGACTTCTCGCTCGCTCGCAGCTGCTTCGTAGAGAGAGAAAGGAGGAAAATGGCGCCTAACAAGAACGGACGCGGCGGCAAGGCCAAGGGAGAGAAGAAGAAGAAGGACGAGAAAGGTGTATATATATACAATTCATTTCTGTTTCTCTACGTATATGTATCGCGAATTCGTGTGTGTGTGTGTGTTGGTTTGGGATTAATGGCTCTGTTTCTTATTGGCCCTGTAAATGGAAGCAGTTCTTCCGACGGTAATGGATATCACCATAAAGCTTCCCGACGATACCCGCGTCCTTCTCAAGGTATGCCCCCCACCCACTGATTTCTCTCTCTGTCTTTGTTCGGGTGCTTCTCAGTTTCGAGATTCTTCTTCTTCTTCTTCGGATTCTCTTTCAGCCTTTCTTGCTTGTGGTTGTTTGGCTCCGCTATTATTTCCATTTTCAGCTCCAACTGCATAGTGTGATAGTACAACAACTAACGGTGCGTGCGGGCACACACACACTGCGTTCTCTTCCTCCCCTGTTTCGGGAACCGTTTTTTCTTCTTTCTTTTTTTTTATAGAAAATTTGTCCTTTCACCCGTCCAAATATATATATTTTAAACCTAAGCTTTCTCTCCAGCCACATTAGGCTTAATAAAATCTAAAACCAGCACTTAATACATACAGACTGGATAGATAGTAAGGATACTGCGTCATTTTTATGGAACGGGTAAGGATACCGTTTTGTTTGTTTGTTTGTTTGTTGTGGGATTCAAGGGTGGGAAGTGGGAACCATGCTTGGTTTGATTAGTATAATAATTGAGTGTCATTGTTGCGGCTTACTTTTCTAATTTGGTTAAGCAAAAATTACTTATTTATTTATTTATTTATTTATTTATTTATTATAGAACAGGAGCTTAGCAATTGATGCGTTTTCTCTAATGCTTGCTTATAATTTCTAAGATAATTATTGGGCCAGCCAGATTATAATGGAAAAATGGTGTATATTTTTTCTAAGCTCTACTACTTGGTTTGGCTGGTTTGGGGCCAACAACGGCGTGGTATTGACATCCAACAAAGGCGTGGTATTGGCATCCAACAGTGTCCTTCCCTACCTACTAAACCGGGAGGGCAAAGAAAAAAAGAAGGGAAACTACGATTCTTTTTTTTTTCTCTCGCGGTCGCCAACTTTTACTTAATTCCAACCTAATTATATATTGGTTACTTCTTTATTGCAGTTATTATTGGTCTGCCCCCTTTATTCACAAAACACAACTGGGTGGAAAATTTTAGTATTTTTTGTTTATGTGTTTGCAAACAATTGCGTGGATTTCTACACATCCAACAAAAGAACAAATGCTGAATATGACTGTCCAATAAAAAAGAAGGAAAATTGAAAATGAGAAAAAGAAAATCAATCGAGATAAAACAATAATTGTGGAATTAAGGGCACCATGTATGCTTGCTTTGGTTGGTGGCAACTCCTACGATTTATTGGTGTCCTTATTATTTTTGTGTGTAGAGAAATTACTTTCCCGTTTATTGACTTTCTTGTTCTTTCCCATTGTGTTGTAAATTGATGCGTTTGTCTTTTTATTCGGGTTTTTGGTAAACTAAGTCTGAAATTTGTTGTGGAACGACAGGGGATATCGACGGACAGAATTATAGACGTTCGTCGCCTTCTGTGTGTCAACACGGAAACCTGCTCCATCACTAATTTCTCCTTCAGCCATGAGGTCTGTATTGTTTATCCTCAAACTCACTTAATTTCATTTTATTCTCTTCCCATTATTAATTCATCAAGAAATGAAAAATTGTCCATATCATTCTTTCAATATTACGTGCCCCGTACCACCACTACCACGATATTCTAAATTCTTTGTTTTTCTTCTTCTTCTTATTATGCAAAATTTAATTTAATTAGCATCTGCATAAAAAAATATATTAATGTTTGTTTACAAAAAGATAAAATTTTAAAAATGAAATTATTTTTTAATATGTATATATGCTAATCAAATTTTGATAGTACACTTTTTACTTAATTGTCTTTTGGTTTGGAATTAAATTTTCTTTTTGTCTTACGCAGGTGAGGGGGCCGCGGTTGAAAGATACGGTCGACGTCACGGCTCTGAAGCCTTGCGTGCTCACTTTAATTGAAGGTAAACTCGTCCCCAATAAATTCATTAAAAAAAAAACTCGTCCCAAAACGACGGCGCCGTACATGCTTCCCGCGCAACGGCTTCCTAAACGAAAAGCGAAGCGTTTAGTTTTGAGTTTTGACCGTCGGGCTCTCAGCCGAAGACTCTTTTTTAATCTTTTCACATTCTTTTGCGATCCAGAGGATTACGATGAAGATCTCGCAATCGCGCACGTCCGGCGGCTCCTGGACATTGTCGCCTGTACGACCTGCTTCGGTCCGTCGACCGGCGTCCAGGACAAGGCCAAGTCGGACGCCGGTAAGAATGCGCCGGCTGCTGCTGGCAAGAAGGCCGCCGCTGCTAAGCCTCAGGAAGCCGCCTCGACCGGCGGCGGTAAACCGAAGGATGTGCCCGAGGAGGAAGGAGAATTAAGCCATTCGTGCCCTAAGCTTGGCCATTTCTATGAGTTCTTTTCGTTGTCGCACCTCATTCCCCCTCTTCAGTGTATGCTTTCCTCCCCTATTTCCTCTAAAGATCTGCATCGCCTTCGCCAACGAGTTTCTGATTCCATTTATTTCTGTTTCAGTTGTTAGGAAGGGAGAGAAGCGGCAGGTTGATGAGATTTCAGCCGAGGATCACCTCTTCTCCCTGGATGTAAGCTCTCTTAATTTGTTTTCTTTTGGCTTTTTTTATCCTATCCAACTGCTCCTCCTATTCAATCCGCTGTTGTTTTTCTTGATCAGGTGAAGCTTTGCAATGGAAAGCTGGTTCAGGTGGAGGCTTGCAAGAAAGGTTTCTACAGTGTAGGGAAACAGCGGATTCTTTGCCACGACCTTGTGGACTTGTTGCGACAGCTTAGTAGAGCCTTTGACAACGTTAGTTTTTTTTTTCTTTTGCTTTGGCTACCTTTCCTTCTTGGTTCTGTAATGTTGTGGCTAGTTCGACTTGGTTGACAAATTGGTCTGTTCAATTTCATGTTTCAGGCTTACAGCGACCTCTTGAAAGCATTCTCAGAACGGAATAAGGTACAATTTCTGTCAATACTGTCCCTCTTATTTTTCCTGAAACATTTTGTGGACAGAAGAAAGTAGTAGCGTCGAAAGAAAGAGATGTTAAAGCTGTTAACGAGATCATCTGAAATAAGTTGTTTGCCTACCGTGCGGAGTTCAGCTTGTATCTAACACCAACAGCCTCCATGTTCTTACCTGAAGTATACAAAAAAAACTAACAGCCTTGATGTGCTGTATTCCATGCAGTTCGGGAATCTTCCTTATGGATTCAGAGCAAACACATGGCTTATCCCTCCTGCTGCTGCACAATCGCCATCATGGTTCCCTCCTCTTCCTGTTGAGGACGAAAAGTGGGGAGGAAATGGAGGTGGTCTTGGTAGAGATGGGAATAAGGATCTGATACCTTGGGCTGATGAATTTTCGTTTCTCGCTTCTATGCCTTGCAAAGATGCAGAGGAAAGGCAGGTCCGAGATAGGAGGGCATTTCTACTCCACAGCCTATTTGTTGACATTGCCATTTTCAGGTCCATCAAGACTGTACAGCTAGTAAATGAAAGGCCAGAGTTGCTAAGTTCAATTACGCAAGGTCAAGGTCTCTATACAGAGAGAGCAGGGGACTTGATAATTACTATTGTGAAAGATGCTTCCAATGCAAGTTCAAAGATGGACACTAAGATTGATGGAATCCAAGCAACTGGAGCAGAAAAAAAGAATGTCGTGGAAAGGAACTTGCTGAAGGGCATAACTGCTGACGAAAATACTGCTGCACATGTAAGTTGCTGAAACTATGTTTGTTTATGATGCATTTCTTACTTCATTTAGTGATTTGTCTTGATGACTTTGTTATATTCAACATGCAGGATATTGCCACACTTGGTACCGTGAATGTTAGATATTGCGGTTACATTGCTACTGTTAAAGTTGAGGAAAGGAAGGGGAATAAAGTTAGTTCATTTCAAAGTGTTGAACTTGAACAGCCTGAGGGAGGTGCCAATGCCCTTAACATTAACAGGTACCTACTTAAAAGTATATGTTGGTCCCCAAGTATGAACCAAGGATGGCTTATCAAAGAACCTGTATTTCTGGGTTTCCTGCTTTCCGGAATTGAACTCATTAATCTTTATATTGACACCTACCTGATAGTGACTCTCGAATAAATTCCTAAACTGGCTTATGAAGGACTTGATGCACACCATTACCTTACTGGTTATAAGCATCTATGCTAGTAATGACTTTGAACGGCATGTTTACTCCTTCTCTTATGATTTGCACTGAAATCTAGGGTACTATTCATATAGATATTTAAGCAAAAATACTCAATTTTATTACACCTGCTTATAGGTTTCTTGAAATGGTATACCGAGATGCAACAATGTTGATTAAATGTTTGCCTTATCTTGGGGGTTTTATTTTGTTGCTTGACTTCACAATTGTCATTTCCCACTCACCTTTACAGTTTAAGACTACTACTTCACAAGACATCACCTTCAGAACACAGCAAACCAACTTTATCATCACAAACTACAGAAAAGGAAGACCTCAGTGCTTCCCAGGCTTTTGTTGAGAGACTACTGGAGGAAAGTCTTTCGAAGCTCGAAGAAGAGGAAGCAGAGCAAGTTCCTTTTGTACGGTGGGAGCTTGGAGCTTGTTGGATACAGCATTTGCAAGACCAGAAAAATGCAGATAAGGACAAGAAATCTTCCTCTGATAAGAATAAGATGGCTTCCGCAGAAAGAGAAATAAAAGTTGAGGGACTTGGCACACCCCTTAAGTCCCTCAAGAACAAGAAAAAAACAGAAGAAAGCAATATAAAAATGCAGTCAGAAAAATTGGAAGTACCTGTTAATGGTGTACTAGGGGAAGTTGAGGATCTTACTTTTGCAACATTACAGCTTGAAAGTGCTGAAAGCGATGAGCTTTCACTACAGAAGATTCTGTCAGACACAGCTTTTGCTCGTCTGAAAGAATCAGACACTGGACTTCATCGTAAGGTAATGTCCGTGACCGAAATGGTTTGCTTTATTGGAACTTAACGTTGATGTTGCCTAACTTATCATTTGGTCTACAGTCTTTGGCAGAATTAATCGACTTGTCTCAGAAGTATTACACTGAGGTAGCGCTTCCAAAATTGGTAAGTACGCAAGGCACCATAGTGATTAATTCTCCTTAACGTAACTGATTTGATTGTTAATATGTGATGTTATTGATGGATACAGGTTGCAGATTTTGGTTCTCTTGAACTTTCTCCAGTTGATGGACGAACTCTAACTGATTTTATGCATACCAGAGGTCTTCGTATGCGTTCCTTAGGATCTGTTGTAAGTTTCATGCCCTAGTGAACCCCAATTTCTTTTGATTTTATTTTGCAGTTGATACTTCATGTTTCTATATGCTTTTGTTTCATCACGTGGTTCTATATACTTGTGAATGCAATTCTGGAAATGTCTGTTTTAATCGTAGTGGACTTCGTTGAATCATGTACACGTTTAACAGCTGTGAATGAGGTCCAAACAATTAAGATTACTTGAGCATCCTAACCAATTGTCGACCATGGCTACTTAATAATGATTCAGGCTATATGAGGACATGCATGAAGAGGTGGTTGCCTCTATGGGTGCATGGTAGATACGTAATATATAGTTGCCATGGTAACATCTTTTTATTTTATTTTATTTTTTTGTAGAAATCGGCTGTAGTAAGTGGCCTTTGCTTTTTCTATAGTTACTAGTATGAAGTTGTTGCATATCAAGATACTTTTAGGTTCTGTATGCATTGCCATCAACCCTATAACATGTCCAAACATTACTTAAAAGAAGAATATGTAAGGTGCTTAAATCCTAAGGTTATGCCTCTCAAAACAAAGGAACACCCTATGTCATCATCATACTTCTCGTCATGATGGTACTGCAAACTGGAATCAGTTACTTATGTAAAGTAGATGAGCTCCCCCGGACCATCACTATCTCATACACTAATGATTTAATTGCCTAACTATTCCCTTACCTTTAGTTGGGACGACCTTATCTTATTAAGTATTCTTGGACTATATGTTTGTGGATTAGATTATTTGCTAATATTTTATGCTGGATTATATTGAGTGAACGACCTCTGATGTCTAATGATTTTACTTTTCCATGTTGACAGGTGAAGCTTTCAGAAAAGTTGTCGCATGTACAGTCACTCTGCATTCATGAGATGCTAGTACGAGCTTTTAAGCATATTCTCCAGGCTGTGATTGCTGCTGTCGTTGACCATGAGAAAATTGCTGTATCAGTAGCTGCTGCTCTAAATCTCATGCTTGGAGTTCCTGAAAATCCGGATTCCACTGATAGTTCATATGTCCATCCGCTTGTATGGAGATGGCTGGTGTTATTTCTAAGAAAACGATTTGATTGGAAACTTAGCAGTTCAAACTTCAAAGATGTCAGAAAATTTGCTGTGCTTCGCGGATTGTGCCATAAGGTATTCTTCTGTTCAATTCACATACGGTATGTTCTGGGCACTGACACTAAAAGCTTTGAAATAGGGGCAAAAGAGGGGTGGCTCGATTCTAATTGTTTGGATTAATAGGTTTCTAACAGTAATGGGACAGATCTTCGTTTTGTTATTTCCTTCCATTTATTGGTTACTCAAATCTGTGAAAATGACTCTTAATTTATGTGGCGGAATCTTTAAGCTCATTCAGTGTAGCGTGCTATCCACTATAGGTAGTCTGGCAGTTGGTTTGCTGTATATAAGTTGACATGCAAATTCCTCACTGGAAAGGAGTTTATTGCGTGATTTTGGTAGCATGTTGTCATTAACTTGATTATATAATATTATGGATACTTCTAATGCTCTCCATTTCTGCTTTCTATAGGTGGGTATTGAATTGGTCCCCAGGGATTTTGACATGGATTCTCCATATCCATTCCAGAAATCAGATATTGTCAGCCTTGTTCCAGTGCATAAGGTGTCTAAAGCTAGTGTCCACTCGTTTTTCCAAAGATATTATGGACTGCATAAAGTTCATTGATCATTAACCTACAGGTGGATCTTAACTATTTTGCAGCAAGCAGCATGCTCCTCTGCAGACGGAAGGCAGCTTCTGGAATCATCAAAAACAGCCTTAGATAAAGGAAAACTTGAAGATGCTGTCACATATGGTACAAAGGTATACAGCCTTAATAAATCCCTTACATAAGCTATTTTTCAAGGACTGCTTTGGTTTGACGAAATTTCTTTCCCAATTTTCTTCCATAAAAAAGTTCTTTATTAATTGTTACTTCTCTCTTTCCATAATGTATCATCGTGGTTGATAATTTATAACTGCTTTGTATCTCCAGGCTCTTGCAAAGCTGGTTGCAGTTTGTGGGCCTTACCATAGAATGACTGCTGGGGCTTACAGCCTTCTTGCTGTTGTATTATATCACACTGGCGATTTCAATCAGGTGCTATTATAGTGTGTTTGTTTTGATATTGGAGAAAAATGGTGGTTGGAAGATTGAGACGACTTATTAATTAGCATTTCTTAAGTTTCAATCAATTAAACGAAGTTCCTGTTGCAGGCCACTATATATCAACAGAAGGCATTAGATATCAATGAGAGAGAACTGGGACTTGATCACCCAGATACAATGAAAAGTTACGGGGATCTTGCTGTGTTCTATTACCGACTTCAACACACAGAACTTGCTCTTAAGTATGATATGATATTCTCTTGTATTCTCTATCATATGTCTCTATGCCTTCATGACTGCCAAATTTATGTTCCGTCTACCACTTGTTGATTTCTTGCTATATCTATTATGGACATTTGTTCTGTGTAGGAGGTAATTTGTTAGCATAGTTTGTCTGGCTTATATCTAACTTGGTATGTGAATGCTACGGATAACCATGGTCCCTGGTAATTTCATGCTTTAGCTATTTTGTCTATAATTTCTTGTAAATAAGCTCAAGTTTTAACAAAAAGCTGTGGCTAGTTTTTTTTATATGATATGTTTTCAGTATTCTCTTCGTTGATACAGTTCTTTATGTTTGGCCTGATGTTTCGGACTTTATATTCTTTCTCAGGTATGTAAAGCGTGCTTTGTATCTCTTGCATCTTACTTGTGGTCCATCACACCCAAATACTGCTGCTACATACATAAATGTGGCTATGATGGAGGAAGGGCTGGGAAATGTGCATGTTGCCCTTAGATATCTTCATAAGGCTCTAAAGTGCAACCAAAGATTGCTCGGCCCAGACCACATTCAGGTGACATTTTGTTTGAAATTTTTTTTTGGCATTCTTTTTATATGAGTGTTTTTTTTTTTTTTGCATGGTCATGCTTCGGCTTTGTAGTTGATTGAAATATTACCAAAACGGTGATGCTAATTGAGATTACTGAAAACTAGATATTTGGAGTCGGCATTACTGTAGGAAAAGATGAGCATGAATTTTGGAGAGCACAAACACACGACTCTGTTTTATATTTGCAGTTGCCAGAGCAGGATTTATATCTCTTGGAAGAATTTCCTTCCTAGATCAATAGAGCTACATTTAAGGACTTCTAAGCGTCAAATTGGTTGTTACGAAATCGGGACTTGAACATTTCTGAAACTTTGTTTCGCATTTCAAATTGAGCGGCTTGGTTAAGCTTTGAAGTGAGAATGCTTTCTTATTATGCTGAAGTGTACCTATTTTACAATCATTGCAGACGGCAGCAAGTTACCATGCGATAGCAATCGCACTGTCATTGATGGAAGCATATCCCTTGAGCGTACAGCATGAACAAACAACCCTACAGATTCTCCGTGCAAAGTTGGGTCCAGATGATTTGCGTACTCAGGTATTTTTCTTTATGTATAACCTACTGCTCGCAATTGGTTTCATAAATGTTCTCAGCAGACTTGTAATATAAAACTATTTTGTTTAAAAAGATACCATATCCTAGAATGCTTTCAGCCATCTTGTGGCTCACCAGGTAGATTGTCAAATCCACAGAGTATATATATGGTTGGGTACCCCCACAACTAAGATTGCTTTCCCTGTGATTTATAGTCAATGTGACTGCCTACCCAACACATGTCTATCTTATGCAATTGTCAATTCTTATGAACTTTTTCAGGATGCCGCTGCTTGGCTCGAGTACTTTGAGTCTAAAGCCTTCGAACAACAAGAAGCTGCTCGGAATGGTACAAAAAAGCCCGATGCATCCATTGCTAGCAAGGGACACCTGAGGTGAATTCTCACGGCAACCTATTGCCCTCCTATATTAATGGTATTAGAGATACCTAGTTCCTATTTTCTTTTTAGATATAGGTGATATATGTTTGTTTTCATTTTAAGGTGCTCTACTTAAGGGATTCAAACCTGAGACCTCCAGGTTCTAGACTAATTGTAGTACCACTAGACGAAGCCCCTGTTCGCAGATTATTGTCTGCTGATCAAACAGTCTCTTTTTATGTCGGCTGTAACTTACATAGCTGAACATCTGTCAGCTACATTTTACGTATCAATTGGCAAGGCCAACCCAGTCCATAAACCTCCCCAGGAATCTCTGTTGAGAAATCAGAACTTCTGTTTCTGTTCTCAGAGCTTCTAGACTAATTGTAGTACCACTAGACAGGCCCCTGTTCGCAGATTATTGTCTGCTGATCAAACCACCTCTTTTTATGTAGGCTGTAACTTACATAGCTGAACATTTCGTAGCTACATTTCAAGTGTCAATTGGCAAGGCCAACCAGTCCATAAACCTCCCCAGGAATCTCTGTTGAGAAATCAGAACTTCTGTTTCTGTTCTCAGAGCTTCTTGGATTAAGTACTTCTCAAAAAGATGCAAAATATTTTGCTTAAGCATTTGCATTGGGCTTTCCTCTTGTTGTGTATTTAATTTCGTTTTTCCTTTGGGTGGAAGATAGAGCATTTAGCTTGTAACCCTAACTTGTGATGCATGTTTCTCAAATCGATACCTCTCACACTACTAATGAATTGTCTTATACAAATTTTACAGTGTATCAGATTTACTAGATTATATCAATCCGAGCCAGGATGCCAAAGGGAGGGAAGCAGCAGTAAAAAGAAAAAGCTATGTTACAAAGGTGAGTTCAGAGCCTATGAAAGTGCAACTTATCTTATAGTTACCTTCATTTTCCCACGTAATATGTTTCTATGGAAGCTTTTTCTGTTGGAATCCATCAATCGAAGGTGGGACTGTATTATGCAACAGCCGTTCCTCAATTCTGTTAGCCACATTGAGCGTCCACAGTTCCATGAAATGGATTGCCACGACTCCATGGGAACCAGAACTTTGCTTATTGAGTTATTTCTGCATTATCCGAATCCCGGTTTTGAGTAAACTAATATTTAAGCAGAAGAAGCTTGCCTAGGACGCGTTGGATGGTAGATGCTGTGACACTGTTGTAGGTTTGTAGCTTGGCAAGATATATCTAATGCTGAAACCATTCTTTAGAGGGGAGGTTGAAACATTTCTCTTGCATCCAGGCTGAGAGAATTAGAAGATTATAAAAAAGAGGGTAATAGGTAGAAATTCAGGAAAAGATCCGTCCGTAAAATTCATTCTCATTAGATTTGTGAAACTGATGTATTCAGAGCCTCTTCAACTTTTGAAGGAGCAAAAATGACGTGTACTGTTTACCCCTAAAAATAATGGCATCCTATTTTCTGCTCTCCAGTTTTTCAGATTAATGACAATATCTGTTTCCGATCCATCTTAGGTTAATCCTATGTCATTTCAGGTAAAGGGAAAAGGTGAACCACTAACTGATATGTCAAGTTCCGATGAATCTCCAAAAGAGACATTTCAAGAAGCACCTGATGAAGACACAGTTATTCCTTCCGCCAAAGAAGAGGTTAGTTTGATGGAGGTTCAGAGTGAACAACCTGACTCACAAGGGACTGTAGATGAAAAATCAGTTGTGCCACAAAGAAAGGAAATATTAATACCTGAAACACCTACTGAAGGGGATGACGGATGGCAACCAGTTCAAAGACCAAGATCAGCCGCATCTGATGGTCGACGAAGGAAACAGCGCCGAGGGATCATTGGCAAAGTTTATGTTCATCCCAAAAAGGCTACAGATGCAGAAATGGATTACTCTTCAGCCAAGAACACACTGCAGAATACTCGGCAATACCTTGTAAAGAAACGGCCCATCTCTCATGGAACTTACAACACTGATCAAAATGGCACACTTCCCTCTCAGACGGCCAAGTTTGGGCGGAGAATAATGAAGACCCTAGCCTATCGGGTAAAATCTGTTCCTTCATCTAATAACAAAGATGGTACCATGAGCGAGACTGCTGGGCATGTTGCCAAGGGCTCCTTGTCTGCTCCTACAGAATCTAGTACGATTTCTGCTTCAAATGAGGGTAGTCACTCATTCAAGAAGAATCCAGTGGTTAGCCTGGGGAAGTCTCCATCGTATAAGGAGGTGGCACTGGCACCCCCTGGTACTATTTCTAAGCAGCAAATGTGGTCACCCCTTGCAGAAGATGGAGATAAGCCGGATGTTACTGCTCCTAATCATGAAGAGACACATGATGCAGAAGAAAGTATTATCCTACCAGAATCAGGGATACAATCGGGGGAGCAACATATGAGTTCTTCCTCAGATCACTTGGAAAGAGAACATGTTTTGGAAAACATGACTGAAAATCCATTAACCGTCTTAGCAGAAGATAGTTTGATGGTACCCTCCTGTGTCCAAGAAGCTGAAGAATCTGGTGTTGCTGAGGCTGGCCTTGAAGAAAAAGGCAGATTATTGATGGATACTATCAGAACTTCAATGAATTTACCACTAGAGGAACCATCCAAGAACGGTACTACATCAGATTCCAAACACTGCCACTCGGAAATTAGAGCAGATAATATAGAAGAAGCTTGCCCAGTAAGCTCATGTCTTGAAGGTAACTCTAGTTTGAAGGAAATTTCATCTGCTTCAAACTTGCCAGAGTCTCGCGGTCTTCCCCATAGGAAGCTATCTGCTTCTGCTGCTCCATTCAACCCATCCCCATCTGTTGTTGCACGTCCTACTCCAATCCCTCTCAACATTCCTCTCCCTTCTGGTGGTCCTGGTGCTGTTTCTCCGTGGCCAGTTAATGTTTCACTTCACCCGGGTACTGGAACCGTCTTACCCACCTCCATTAGTCCAATTCCCTCTCCACACCACCACCCATTTCCGTCACCTCCACATACCCCAAACATGATGCAACCACTTCCCTTCATGTACCCTCCTCCTTACAGTAGTCAAGCCCAGGGAATACCGCCAAGTACTTATCCCTTAACTAGTACAGCATTCCATCCAAGCCATTACTCATGGCAGTGCAATGTGAACCCTAATGTCTCAGAATTTGTCCCTACCTCTTTGTGGCCTGGTTGTCATGTGGTGGAGTTCCCTGCCCCAACACCACCCATTGTGGCCCCGATTGCTTATTCTGTATTGGACAGTAAAGAGAAAGCAGAGATTCCGAAAAGTCAAAGTCCTGACTTCCTGCCAGCAGATATTGACAGTGTAACCACAGAATGTATCAAGGACACAAGTCTTCCAGTGCCAGAGGGGAAGCACGATAATGCTAATGAAGACTCGGCTGTGCTTGGCATGCAGAATCTGAATTCTTCAGACTTGCCAGGGGTGAAAGCTTCCTCCTGTGGGAATGGTTCCAGTGAGAATGAGGGCATCAAAGACTCGGGCAGCAGTGGCGAAAGAACTGGTGATGGAGAGAGAACTTTCAGCATTTTGATTAGGGGTAGGAGAAACCGAAAGCAGACACTGAGAATGCCAGTGAGTTTGCTGAGCAAGCCATACGGCTCGCAGTCTTTCAAAGTTGTCTATAGCAGAATAGTTAGAGGCAGTGACGCTCCAAAGTACCCTGGTCTTCCTTCAACTGAGGGCTGCACTGCTACTGCTCCGGTTTCATAGGTTGTCTCCGTTTTTGTGCAAACCTGGATCGTGCAAGAAATATCTTCAAGATGGATAGAAGATGGAATACTTATCTCAAAATACTTCCATGGGATATCAGCATTTTCAACGTTCTCCAAGTCATTCATCCTGAGGCAAACTGAAGAAGTTGCAGGTCAGTCTGTGTAGCCTAAGCCAAGGAAAAGTTTATTCGATTTAATCGGCTTTCGAGCTCCTGGCTTTAATATGATGCTCGACTCCAGAATTGACTCGGTGCAAGAATATGCAGGAACTGCTTCATCTGGGTGAAGTGGGACTGCATGCAAAATACAACAATTGGGTAGAGTTCCATTTTTGTTTCTCAAGGTACTTGGGATGCTACTCTTGGTTACCTTTGTCTCTAGCTTCAGGTTTCCCCCATTAGATTGATATAATAACTTGTTCCTAGCTACTCGATATGAAATAATCCCTTTCCTTCTTTTTTTTATACGAGGAGAATTCCCTTTCCCTTTCCCTTTCCCTTTCCCTTTCACATGCCTGATTGCTGTTTTTCTATTTTGTTTTGGCTCAACGCATGCAGGTTATGGGGATTGTGGTTTCTACAAGGTGACAAGAATAATGTTGATTTTGAGAATATAGCTAGAAAATTTTGTTATCCCGAGAATCATGACAGATATTAATTTGTTGTTTCGCTGCATTGACGGGAAACAAAGTATTTTTGAGACGTGGGTAACTTGCTGGTCTGTAAATAGCTTTGTTTCGTTCATGACTGCAGCTGCTAGCGTCTCTTTCCTCTTGATGGCATCTTCTTTCTTGCCATGAGGAATAATCCAATCCAATCCTGGCCTTTCTTTACACTTGCGCAAACTTAACATCCTCTCCCTTAGCTGGAAGTAGGTCGGACAGCCCGGAATCCTCAAACTTACAATTGCTGCATATATGATTATTCATTCATACACAACTTTAGGGCTCATATGGATGAATTATTTAGGTGAATTATTTTGACTCGAGTAAATTATAATAAATTATTTAGGAAAAAAAATTCATTTGACAAAAAATATTATAAGATGAGTTTGTTGGATCCCGAGTTATTTTCAATTAAATTGTTTTGCACTATTTAAAATAACATTTCCTCGAGTTATATAACAATAGCACTTATCCCACTTGCCTCTCTTTCCCTTTCTTTTTAGGTTTCCTTCTCCAATTTCTTACTATTGGGAACAAGATCCTTTTTTCTTGTCTTTACCTTCTTTTTTTTTCGTTGAATCAGTTTCCTCATCTCATTAAGCAAAACTAGCAAGAAGCTATGGAGAACCAATTACAACGAAAAGGGGTAAATCAACATTACCCAAAGAGACAAAGAGTCCCAGCACTTTACTATAGCTACACAAACCACAACTACTCCTACAAAACACAAGACACCAGCAAATGGGTTCAACAGGACCCTCACAAGACACCAAAACTTGACAGCTCTTCAAGAATGCCTCTGCTTGCTCCAATAATCAGCAGATCATTTTTAATCGCACCCTGCAAATCAGCCACTGAACGAGAGAGTCCCCCATACTTCCGCCTGCACATCTCCTTCGAGATGGAAGCCACCAGAAAACACCAGATCATCCCTACTATAGTACCATGTGTTTTCCTGCATAAAGTACAAGCAACTTCCACAGTAGCAGACCATGATGCCCTATACAGATTGAGAGAACACACACCTTGCATCACCTCCCTTGCATATGAACACTGGAAGAACAAGTGCTCCCTAGTTTCACAACCCTGTTTACACAGAACACACACATCATCCACCGCCTTCCCCCATTTCACCAGTTTATCAGCAGTGACAACCCCATCGAGCAGAATTGTCCAAATAAGAAAGCTATTTCTAGGAACAAATCCATGCCCCCAGACAAGTTTGTGCCATTCCACTACAGGCCACTTAGGTCTGATCACCTCCCAAACCGCACTTAATCGAAACCTGGGCATAGGGACATGATTCCAGAGTATTGTTGCTCCCTGCACAGAGAAATGCTGCTGCAGAACACTTCTAGTTTTCAGAATCCTGCGCCAGGCCCAGGAGCCACTAGAACCAGACCTGATTGTCCATATGCTACCCTGCTTAACCCTGTAGGTCATGATCCATGCCACCCATATAGTCCCACTCTGCATTAGAAGCAGCCATAACATACGAGCAGTACAGGTTTGATTCCAAGAGTAGAGTTCCTTGATACCCAAGCCACCTTCTTTCCTAGGTCGAGTCATTCTGTCCCAACCAATCTTGGCCCTGCCCTCCCCCTCACCATGCCACAAGAAATGAGAACAGATTTTTTGAACCTGTTTCAGAACCTGTTTTAGAAGTAAAAAGACTTGCATCCAATATTGCAAGACTCCCATCAACACAGAAGTGACTAATTGAAGCCTACTAGCATAACTAAGCCTTTTAGCTCTCCAGGATTTTATTTTTTGAGTAATCTTTGCTACCAACTTCTCACATTCCACAGAAGATAGCTTACCTGAAATCAGTGGGAGCCCCAAGTACCTCACTGGAAGAGCCCCCTCTTGAAAACCAGTCATTTGGGTGGCCCTGCTCTTAAACAACACTGACATACCCCCAAAATACACTTCACATTTGGCAGGGTTACACTTCAGACTCGACAGAGTATAAAATTCAGAAAGAGTCTCTTGCACTTTGGAAATAGCAGTCCCTGACCCCTCTGTAAAGATCAAAAGATCATCAGCAAAACTCAGATGAGTTAGCTTCACTTTTTTGCACTAAGGATGGTAAGGAAGCCTCCCTATATCTGCAGATTCATTTAAAAGCAAAGAGAGACCTTCCATGGCTATGGTGAAAAGGTAGGGTGAAAGAGGATCACCCTGCCTAACACCTTTTTGTGCACCAAAATAGCCACATAGCCCCTCATTAATGCAAATGCTGAATCTAGCAGTTTTTACAGTCAGCTTTATCCAATTAATAAACCCAACTGGAAATCCCATAACTTCCATCATCATAAACAGATATACCCAATTAACCGAATCAAAAGCCTTCATAAGATCCACTTTGATAGCACAACGAGATGATAAGTGTTTCCTGTGATACCCACTAACAAGCTCTTGAGCCATTAAAATGTTATCTATTATCCTCCTCTCTTCAATAAAGGCTGATTGATTACCACTGATTACCCTAGGCGGTACTTTCTTTAGGCGATTAGCTAATATCTTTGCAATAATCTTATAAAGAATATTAATGCAAGAAATTGGCCTATAGTCTTTACCTTCATCCTCTTCATCGTCCGGTAAAATTTTGGAGCTATTGACATTCAACCTGTAGTGGCGTAGTTGAATTTTATACATAGTGTGTAAGATTTTTTTCCAAAAGAATATTGTAAGAAATTTTAGACCATTCACAATGTCTTATAAGGTGTTTTATATATTTTCAAAACTTGTAAGATGATTCATATGATATCAATCCCAATATATCTTAGTCAATAATTATTCGTGACTTTGTGATTCATTTAATAATCATTCATGACTTTGTTACTTCTTTCAATGGTCATGGTCCTAAAAAAACTCTAAAATTTTATCTAGTTTTAGATAATGTCTAGTCAACAACCTATAGTGATCTTATTGAGGTTTAAAATCTAATATAATATATTGTTATCAGCGAAGTCATTATTATGATAAAAGGAAGTTAGGAAGATTCACCAAAAGGAGGATTTGGTGGAAGAAAGGGAATAAAATTAAGAATTTGAAACCTAAAGAGTGAAGTTATATTTTAATGTAATATGATTTATGTAGGAAGTAGGATGTATTATATAAAAATGATGACAACAAAATTTATTATTTAATTGTGGTAGGTGATCGAAATATTAACTAATATTTACAGGATTTAAAGTTCAAATCTCATTGGCACCTAACTACATATTAATATGTACACATTTTCTCCCTAGCCAAGATGGATCTCGGGACTAGAGCAAGTAGTGGGAGATTTTATGCGGATTTGGATGAATTTGGAACCACCCACCCACTACGTAGTGAATGAAGAGAAATGACCCTAACCCACTCATGCATGTATTTGTGGGTGGGATTGGTTGGGTGATAGCAAATTATGGGTGGTTGGGTTGGTTCGCTTGATTGACAACATAGATCCTAAAATTTCACAAAATTCATAATATTCGAAATGTAAGATGAAAGAAATCTTAAAACTTTGCACAAAAAAAGGAAATCTTAAAACTAAATAGCGGTTAATCCATAAATCGGATGCATCATTTGGCTTACAATATTACTAGTAGTAGTTGTGGGTCATGATTAAGTTCACCTGCTTAGTTGTGGATTGGTGAATTTTTGCTCAAAACCCACCCTACCCATCCAATCCACATCCCTACCTTAAATGAACAATATAAGAAACATGAAAAAGTTGATCATGAATCTTAGAAGGATGTGAATATATGATAAATTTCCAACCACATAAATAAATTGGACTTTGCAATTATTCTCAATAACCATAACTTTGAGAAAATATTCATTTGAAATTTAGGGGTTTTGTTGTCTTTTTAAGGTTTTAGCTTAGGTAAAGTTATAGATTAGAGATTTGATGATTTAAGCTTACAAATTTGGGTGGATCGTGAGTCAATCACAGTCCATCCCACGCACCCAATATTTAGTATGTCACTTATTTTACAACTTACACTTCTCCATAAAACCCACCCACAACATAAACCATGTGTCAATTGTAGGTGTATTTTGATGAATGTGTGAGTTCAACCACCAAATGCTCACATCTACCTTAATTCAGATGTCTTGGCTCCGTCTCTACAGACCTGTCAAGACTGGTGGTGCCATCACAAGGGGGAAGGGGAGGTCATTCCAGGGTTGTTGATTATTCTTCGTGATACCTTTTCTTCTTGGTTTTTTGTTTGTCTGAGAGAGAAGTCCTTTTTGCTCATTTTAATAATTACGATAAGGAACTACATTGTCAACACTACAGAATTAGAAATTAACCTCGATTGCTTTGAACTGGAGCGGTCATTGGTTCTAATAGAATGTACAGTTTAAGCATGCAATTATTTTCTACTGATTTTTTTTGTGTAAATTTATTGCTTGTTGAGAGCTTACAAGCTAGGTCAAGTATCCTTGTTCCAAATCCTTTTGTGAAACTCAAACTAGTTGATCTAATGGATGAAACCAACAATTTCAAACCTAAGAATATTGTGATCTGTACTCAAAGCCTTACTACTTATAAGGTTGTTCTTCCCTTGCTTCGAAACGTCTTACCACTACTAAGCATGATGAGAAGCATTTCACGAACGAGATGAATATGTTATGTTAAGTTAGTCACCTAAATTTGGCTCCACCTATGAGTTTTTGTATAGTGAAGGGAAGAAGAGAATGTAACATCCCGTTCCGGCAAAACCCATATTTCGATCGTTAGAAAGTTCGCGATTTAAAATCGAGCGTTTTGATAGTATTTCAATGAAAATCGGATTATCGATCGGATAAGTATACGTATTAATTATATATATAATATATTATATATAATTATATATATAATACATATTACATATATATTTACATTAAGCGGCTGGGCCGCATATAATAAACCCCGTCCCTTTTATTCTCATCACCATCGTCATTTTTCCCATTCCCATCCGAGAGTAAACGAGAAGCAAAGCGCGCACAGGGAGGCTTCTGTGCAAAATTCCCAGGCTCGATTCTTGAGCTCTAGTAGCCCAAAAATCCCGTAAGTTATGCCTAATCCATCTATACATCGTGATTTATCGATTTATAGCTTTAAAACGAGTTTTTGGTTCAGAAATTTCTCGAATTCCCGATAAGCCAAATTAGGGTTTCGGAGTATCCGGAAGCCGGATTGAGCCGATATTTCATATACGAGCTTCCTGCAGCGAGGTAATCAATCCTCTAGTTCTAATCCATGAATTTCGGCTATTATTTAGGTCGGAGCCGGGATCGCTGAATTTAGCTCCGG